TCTGCCCCGCTTCGCTCCCTCTGCCGTTCCCAAACACGACCCCAGTCCCCACTTCCACCCCCCGCTGCCGGCCCACTCCGCCACCGCTCACGCGGCCCAATTCCCTCGCCCGCGCCAACGGCCCACACCCACACCCACACCAGCTCCCTTCTCTGGCTCCAGCTTCTCGCCCACGTCCCCTCCCCAAGCGCCTGTTCCATCGCAAGGCTGGGTGCAGCTTTGCTGCGGAGGTTGCAATTTCTTCAACTTCCTCCCAGCCTTCCGCTCCACTCCGGTCTGCATGCATGTCAGCGATGTTTGAATCTCTCTCTGTGCCCGCGTCGGTGGCGGCGACGGCGTCGTCGTCGGCCGGGCGCGCTCTGGCCCACCCGGCGCCCAACCCGCGCCTGGTGCGCAGCCGCACCTCCACCGACGTGCGGCCTGCGGGCGGCCGGGGTCTGCTGCTGCGCCGCACTCCGGGCGCCGACGCCGCGGCCGCCGCCCGCGCGCAGCGCTCCTCGCTCGCCATGCGCCAGGTGGGCCCCTCATTTCTCTACCAAACGGCCGGTGGTCCCATTCGGTGGAAGCTCACAGTAAAGATCCGAACAAACAAATCTGATCTTCATCCTTGAAATTAGTTTAACATACGGTGCTATTGAAAACTGCGTTAGATTTACATTAAAAAAATGAAATTATTTGTGAAGGTTGCCCTATTCAAGTTGGAAAAAATGTCTATATTCCGTTTAAGGATACCTCTGTTCCGTGAGGGAAGCAACCGAATATAGTTTCTCAGTTTTGTCATTTTCGTGTTTCTTCTTTCTTCTCCCGAAATTGAATTCTGGAATTTGAACGGCCGTGCAGCGTACTCCGAGTGACGTTCAGACGGCATGTCACGCCCCGCTGCAATGATTCGTTCACCTTTTTCAACTTACTGGGAATGTGATATTTTGGGCTCTTAATATGGCATGGTATATAGTAATTGTATCGGATTATGTAGGAATATACCTATTGCTATTAAGGGAATATCATAAAACCGCCAGGATTAGAACTGCCGCATGCAGACCCGAGACAAATCTCACGACCTGGAAGGCTCCGAGGCGGATGGACTCTGTAAAGGTGGGCATCGCGGCTGCCTCCTGAACCCAAAGGGTTTTTGAATTTCAGTAGGGCGTTGCCCCTTTTCAGCATACTCTGAGGTTGCAGTGGGAGGCGTATTCTTCAGGCCGCCACGTATCCCTCAATTAATCTCGAGTCAAAGACCACGACAAAACAGGGAAACCGACTAGGGACCTTCTCGGGCAAATCCGAAGCGGTTGGGCCCCCACTCGTATTCTCATACCCCACCCTACTGTGGCACTAACGACGTGGGTATCGCTTAGAAGCTTCTAATTTTCCCAATCCTCCAAAAGGCCAAAGTCCGAGGCTCGCAACGGAGTGTAGAAGCAAGGCGTCTGACGGAGGGCTTTTTCCGTGGCAGGTGCGCACGCCCGGCTCGGCCCGCGCCTCGGCGCCCGCCGCCGCACCCAGCCTGGCCCGGCGCGCGCCGCCCTCGTCGGCGCCCGCGGGCGTGGGCTTGGGCTTGGGCGTGGGCGGGGCCGGGCAGGGGCCTGGTTCGGGCCCGGGGTCGGGGCCGGCGTCGGCCACCGCCTCGACCGACGGCCTGGCGGCGCTGATGGGCAGCGCGGGGGCGGGGCTGGAGCGGCGCCAGGGCTCGGCGTCGTCGCTGCACAGCTGCGCCTCCACGCGCAGTTGGGCCGAGAAGGTGCGCGGAGACGCCGGCGGGGACGCGGCCGCCCACGCCGCCGCCGCCGTCGCCGCCCGCCCCACCGCCGTCTCCGTCGAGGTGCTGCCGCGCGCCTGCGCCGGCCTCGACGACGGTGAGTGGCGTTCGCCTCGCTTTCGGTCTTCGCACCCTCCACTCTCATCTCGTTCACAATTCAACGAATATGAACTGAGCCATTCAGCCCTCATTAATGCTAATAATACGGAATAATCCAAATCAATACTAGCTATCATTACTCCTAATGAACTTCAATCCCCATCCCAAGATATTCACTCCCATTCTCATCTTCAGTTCACCTGCCCATACCTTTGATCACCATCCTCATTTTCAGTCCCCGTCGCACCGTATGCATGTGTATTTCTGACTAAAGTACAAAGGTATGCTACTTAAGTAGACTATGTGCTCGTTTAATATAGTTACTCTAAGAAGGAACCACTTTGACAGGGGAAACAAATGAACGTCATGCAATGCGATGACATGGTAAGAGGTAGTGATGAAGCCATTTACAATAAGCTATCTGTAAACGAACGCACTGACAAAACGAGAGCACGTACATAACGTGCAGTTATGTTGCCAGCAGTGGTCAAGTTGTCAAAGCGGTACCTTCTTATACTAATCTCTCTACATATTAATATTTTGTGTCTCGTCGACAGCTGTCCCAATCATTGCAAGCTTAATTCTGTGAATTGATTCGTTTCTTAACGTCTTGTGAATAGTATACTGTAATTCTTTTTGTCACGCTTTTTATCTGTTTTTAGTGCTTCTCGTTTTGAAAGTTATATAAACCTTTTTGAGGAGTGTCAAACTTTCAGCGTTTGGCAATGTTATTAATGCCCATGTTATGATCTTTCTATCTTCAACTTTTCCCACCTTTCTCTGGCGTCATCTCGTGTTTTGATAGCCTCCGCCCTAGCTCTCAGTTGCGTTCACGTCATGTGCCACGTCTCTCGTTAGCACACAGCAATCTGCTTCGCGTGCGCATTGCGTGCTCCTTAGCCGCCCTTCCCATCCTCACCTCCCCTGCTCCCGATTGGATGCATCTCGCTGCATTGACCTGCTGCCCCATTTCGCGCGTTTCCCGCGCGCAATTCATTGATTTTTGCACGCGGGCGGGCGGACGGGCGGTTCGGCGCGCCCGCGCCCGTTCCCGCCGCCGCCGCCACCTGACGGGCGTCCTCGCCTTCCCGTGCGCAGACGACTCGCAGGGCTGGGAGACGGTGAAGGGGCGGTCCCGGTCGCGCATGTCGCCGGCGGCCGCGTCCGCGGCGACCAGCGCGCGTCTGGCGGCGGCGGCCGGCACCTCCGTGCTGTCCCGCAGCGCCGGCAGCA